AAAAAAGGACTAACCAGAGATGTAAAATTTAATAAGGATGGCCTAGCCAATTGCTGGCAAGAAAGTAAATCGATGGGAGCTTTTATACACTGCTAATAGAAGTATTAATTGGTGTGTGTGTGTGTGTACTTTTTTATACAAATTGGGAGTTAACAAATGTAAAAAAGGGCTGGGGACGTGGCTCAAGCAGTAGCGCGCTCGCATGGCATGCATGCGGCCCGGGTTCGATCCTCAGCACCACATACAAATAAAGATGTTATGTCTGCCGAGAACTGAAAAATAAAATATTTAAAAAAATAAAAATAAAACATATTAAAAAAAAAAACAAATGTAAAAAAAAAAGTTTGTATTCCTTAAATTCAACATCTGCAGTACGTATGACAAAGGGAAACTATTCCTAGTTATGTACCCTAGAGAAACTCCTCCATGGGTATGCTAGAGACATGCAAGAAAGTACAGAGTTCATAGAAACAAAAACTGGAAACATGTTTCATGACAGGAAAACAGATATACTACCACACAATGGACTAACTACAGCTATGCCCTATAAGAATGGTTTTGAGAAACAATGCTAAGTTTAAAAGTACTATTTTCAGCATGATGTATGTACTTTCAATACTGGGGATTGAACCCAGAGCCTCATGCATAATAGGTGAGCATTCTAACACTGAGATACACCCCCAGCCCTTTTTATTTTTTACTTGGAGACTCAGTCACACTACATTTCCAAAGTTGGCCTTGAATTTGTAATTTTCCTGTGTAGCCTTCTGAGTAGCTGGCATGAGCAACTGCACATAGCATGATAGTATTTTTATGAAATTAAAAATGAAAGCAAATTGGTATATTATTCAGAGATACATATATAAAGATTATATTTGTTTGTTTATTTATTTAATAGTACTAGGGATTGAACCCAGAGGCGCTTAACCACTGAACTACATACTCAGCCCTTTTTATTTTATTTTTTTATTTTGAGACAAGGTCTCAGTAAGTTGCTGAGACTGGCTTTGAACTTGTGATCATTCTGCCTCAGCCTCCCGGGCCAATGGGATTCCAGGTGTGTATCTCTGTGCATGGCAATTAAGATTTTTTATAAAGGGAAAAAGAGAACTCAGGAGAGTGGTCACCTCTAAGATATGAGGAGGAGACATGACAGGGAGAAACATGAAGATACAGTCAATGGTACTCTTCTTATAACTGGTTATATGTTCTAGGCTTAATTTTATTTTGCTTTATAACTTGCATAAACATTACATAAGTTTCATTTTAGTTTTATTTTTGAGACAGAGTGGTCTCAAACTCCCTGGCTCAAGTGATCCTCCTGCCTCAACCTCCTGAGTCACGGGTTACTGGCATACACCACCATACTAGACTGTTATGCAAATAAAATTATATTAAATCTGCCATTCCAGGATCTATTGCTAAAATATATCTGTATATTAAAAAGTAATACCAGACTTGAAGGGGAAAAAAAAGTTAAAGTATTAAAAGCAGCTCTCTATTAAAAACCTAAGAAGAGCTGAGGTCTTTGTGGTGGTACTGAGGATTGAACCCAGGAGTGCTTTACCACTGAACTACATCCCCAGCCCTTTTAAATTTGTTTGTTTGTTTAAGACAGGGTCTTGCTAAGGTGATGAGGCTGACCTACAACTTGAAATGCTCTTGCCTCAGCCTCCCAGTCTCCCAGATTATAGGGATATGCCACTGCACTGGGCTCAACTGTTTTTTATTTATTTATTTTTTGTTTTTTTTGTGGCACTAGGGATTGAACTCACATTCTAGGTAAGCACTCACACATGCTAGGCAAGCATACTACCACTGAGTTATGCCTCAGCTGTGCCCCCACCCCATCTTTTAAAAATTATTTTGAGATAGGGTCTCACTAAGTTGCCCAGACTGGTCTCCAACTTAGGTTTCTCCTGTCTCACCCTGCCAAGAAACTGTGATTACAGACATGTGCCATCATAACTGGTTGACCTCAGAATTTCTAAACAGGTAAACTACTCTTGGCTTGGGGAAGCCCATGAAACTAGCTCCACACCACACAGTTCCTAAGGGGAATGGGGATAAATCAGATACACGGCACATCTTAATAAAATTTAACAACATTTCACACTGAAATGTTAGACCTCTGGAATAATGATGGAAAGGCTCAGTGTGGAGTATCCAGATAAGGTTATCTTAGTATAAAAGGGGATTTCTAAACATGAGGGGAAAATGTGGGCAAAGAAACCAAAAGATACCCAGAATAATCTGAATGATGACCTTGGTATGAATGGTGCAGTAATAAGCAGGGTCACTGGGACTCACCTGTGTTGTAACTTTGTAGGCCACATAGGCATTCATACCATCCCCTGAGGAGAACAAGAAAGCAAGAAAGGATTATCCTTTAAACCAAAGCAGTGTAAATTCAGTAACATTTAACCAGGAATCATAAGCACAGGAACCCTACATAAAAAGGATTTGTTTTAACTCCAAGCTTTACATGTGATCCTAGAATCCAGTTCCTACTTCACCTCAGGGCCTCTATGGCACATATAATGCCCCCCACAGATGCTGGCTGGGCCCCAGTCTGAGATAGACAAGAGAGTTAGCCTCCTGTTCCAAAACCAGGCTCCATTTATACCCTCCACAAAGCAGCACTGGATACTGACAATCCATCAGTTGTTACCATGCCAATATTTGGGCTGGTTACACACATCTGTCCAAAACCAAACAATTCTCTTGCTGTATAAAGCAAGAGGAGAAGGAAGCAACTGATGTAAAAGGAAACAAGTAGTTCTACCCTAGGCTAGCTCTGGGCTTGGTTTGCTCTTTCAGAAATACAATCATGGCCCCCTCCACTGGGACTGGGGGACACTGACCTCTCTGATCTAGCATATTCACCCAGAGTAAAGGGCCTGGCAGGAAGACACTTGGGCTGCCTGATGTCACAAAAATCTCCCTTTCCTGAGGAATTATTTTTATGAAAAAGCCTTTGATTGTTAAATAATCTGGGATTCAAGCAACTGTTTTTCTCTGTGGTAGTGTTCTGACCCAGACCACTTAGGGAGATAAAGGCACCATTGACTCCTTAAGCACTGAAAAGACATACATTGGAATCCACAGAGTCACAGCTCCAGTGCTGGACCATGGCATCTTGGGTTGGTTTTGTCCCCTTCCTCCCTTGTCCCTGGATTCCTCCCCACATCAAACAGGAAAGCCTAGGTTAATAATTAGTTCTTGCTTAAACTCCTGAATTAGTTCTGGGTGGGGGTCAGGGGAAGAAGGAGCAGTACTGGATCAAAAGGTCACATACAACAACTTGGTTTCAAAAAGATGGCTGGAAATGCACAGAGTGCACAGAGAAGCTGGAGATTATACAGGACTAGAGGGCAGGCCTGCTCTATCTTCTCAACATCTAACAAATGAGTAATGTACAAAACAGAAATTAAGCTAATTTAAGCTAAGCTTTAGAAATTATTTTATGCTGATTACCACACCTTTAGTTCTCTTCTAAGCCATTTGTACTACATTGCCTAATATTACTAAGGATATTCACCACTGGAAGGAAAAAAGCTAAATTTACTTTATAGAAATATATTCAAAATTTTATTCACTGTTGAAGTAGTTATGTTCCAATGTCCAAAAGGCCAGTTTCATAATTTAGTGCCAGCATGATCTTCAGATATTCTGCCTATGTGTCAGCCACTTTTACTAAGGTAATATGTGTGAAAAAAGACATACTGTTTACATATGGACAGAGTACATAAGATGTGGAAATGGGGTAATAATACAAGAGTCTTAAAATTTACATAAATTTCTTAAATAATTTCTGAGAAGTAAAAATGGCATATATAAATTACCAAGTTCTAAAAAGAGTATCCTGGTCAAAGTAGGATTCTAATTTCTATAGTGGTGTGTGGGCCAAAGAAGCACATGTTGAATAAACAGCCCATACGTAAAGTTTTGTTAAAAAATCAGACCCTGGGATATGGTTGTAGCTCATTGGTAGAGCACTTGCCTGGTATGTGTAAGGCACGAGGTTCAACCCTCAGCACCACATAAAAATAAATAAATAAATGTTTTGTGTCCATCTACAACTAAAAAAGAAAAAAGGCCCTAATATGAATATGTTTTAATAAGTTGGTTTCTTGGCATCACATGATTAAGAATCCAGGGGGATAAAAGATTATTACCAAGAGTGATTTGTGTTCAAATAAATCTAATCCATAAGACATTTAAATTATCCTACTGTAGGGCAAATTATGCCCCTCCAAAATGATATGTTGAAAGTCCTAATTCTTAGTACCTCAGCATGTGACCTTATTTGAAAACATGGCCTTTACAGATATAATCAAGTTAAAATGAGGACATCAGGGTAAGTCCTCCTCCAGTGTGAGTGGTGTCCTTATAAAAATAGGGAAAGTCAGATGAAGAGCTATACATGCATAAAGGAGAGATGATATGGAAACACTTAGAAAAAATGCCATGTGACAATGAAGGTAGACATCGGAATGAAATATCTACAAGCCAAAGAACACCTAAGGCTATAAAGATCTGAGAGAGAGGCATGGAATTAGACTTCACAAAATTTCTGCTTCTAGCTCTAAAAAAGACAAAAAGTTAGGAATTATATTTTTTCTTTTAATTATTACATTTGTCTTCTTAACCATATGAACATCACTCTTTGTTTAGGAGGACAAAGCTCTAAAATAGCCTTTTCTGTAAGGGACTATACCTGGCACAAGGAAAGTCAAGGTCTATTATTTTCTGCTAATAACACTCACAAACCTGGGAGAGGGGAAAGTTATCCTAAAAATTCAAGTCTGGCCAAAGTTAAGTATTACCTTTTTTGAAAATCTAACTTTAGTTTGACCATGCTTAGTCTTTCATCTATGGGAAGAGGATGCCAACTTCCCCATCTCATTTAGAATACCAACGCAAATGACAAATGTTATGTATAGCAAAAGTTTCAAATTTCTTGAGGAATTTTATTTTTTAAATTTTACTTTTTAAAAATAAATATGGAATGCTTTGTGAATTTGCATGTCATCCTTGCACAAAAGCTATGCAATCTTCTCTGTATCTTTCCAATTTAAGTATATGTGCTACCAATGTGAGCACCCATATCTCAGAATTCTAACATATATTTTAAACTACTTATATGGAATTTATGATCTAAAAATGGAGTAAAGGGTTGGGGCTGTAGCTCAGTGGCACAGTACTTGCCTAGCATATATGAGGCACTAGGTTCGATCCTAAGCAATGTATAAAAATAAATAAATAAGGGGCTGGGGGTGTGGCTAAGCAGTAGAGCGCTCACCTAGCATGTGGGAAGCCCTGGATTCAATCCTCAGCAAATAAACATTAAATATTTTTAATAAATAAATAAAACAATTATAAAAAATAAAAAGGGAGTAAATGGTCTTAGCAACTCTGAAGGAGAAGGTAATATTTGAGTTTTAAAAAAGGGATTCTAGGGGCTGGGATTGTGGCTCAACAGTAGAGTGCACACCTAGCACATTCGAGGCCCTGGGTTCGATCCTCAGCACCACATAAAGATAAATAAAATAAAGTATAAAAAATTATTTTTTAAAAAAAGGGATTCTAATAATATTTGATGTCTCCACTTTTTCTTCTTAAAGCACAGAAAAACTAAGTACTGCGTAACTGGTGTCTCTGGTCTTTGAAGTATAGCTAGGGTTATATTTTTACAGCTGGTTCGGCTCTGCAGGTAGCCATCCCCAAATTAGCTACCCACACTTTCTACCTGTCCCCATCCTAATATCACAAGGAGTCCCAAGGGCACTTACCTATCTTCTCAGGATCAGTAATACCAACTGTCAAATCAAAGTGATCCTCCTGTTCTTCTTCCTCTAGCTTTTTAAAGAAAAAATAAGTCATGCGAGTTGATGTGAAATTAATTTTATCCATTACTATATATCCATATAATAAAATAAAGATATACCTTTCTATATATACGTGTTCAGCTCTGTCCATTCCCAATAATTTCAGTGAACCAATGCCCACAATTTTAAGTTGGGAGCCAGTTCACAGGTCATTGTTACATCTATCCCCTTGAAATCTCATTTGGATGACAATGAATAACTATTAGATTTTGGAAGACTTGCCTCTTTCAGGCTAAGGAGGGAGTAAAGAAAGAAAGAAAGACTACATGAAAGCCTTTGTGCTGTCTTCTGGGTAACAGACCGTTTAAGAAAGGGTTCTTTACAGGATTCTAGCTGTCTATTAATCACAGCAGGTCTCCTTCAGGAATCATAAATGTTTTCTCAAGGTTTATACTCAACTAACTTCAAACTAGTGACAACACAGTCCTAAAAATCCAAAAGCAACCAGACCAGTAACACAGATTCTCACCTCCTCATAGCTTGGCTGGGGCTTAGAAGAATTTGTGGCTTCCTGTGGAGGAAGAGAAATGAGTGTTTTGGCTGGTACCGTCTTCTGATTATTTTGTGTGCTGTCCAGGGATAGCTCCACTGTGGCATCTGAAAACAGTTGATATTTTTAAATAAAGGTCAATAATGGGTCTTTGAAAGCTGAACTTCAGTTCAACAGCCTGACTCATAAGAACATCAGCAAGCACTCTTAAGTAAATACTTGGTGGCTCTCAGATTAAGAGAGCAAGAGTCACAAAATTTTACATGGATAAAAGGGAAAGAACATGAGGAAAGTGTTCTTTTAGGACAGCCTTATTAGTAGAGCAACTTCTCCTTTTTCCTTCCAACCACAACTACTTGGTCACACTCTCCCATGTAGAATTTAGTCAAGAACTAGGAATCAAGCCAGGAGGTGGGGCAGGCCTATAATTCCAGCTACCTGGGAGGCTGAGGTGGAAGGATCAAAAGTTCCAGGCCACTAGGCAAACTTAAAAAAAAAAGACCATTTCAAAATACAAATGTAAAAAAGAACTGTGATAAAGCTCAGTAGCAAAGCACTTGCCTAGCATGTGTAAAGCCCTGAGTTCAATCCCCAATACTGCAAACAAACAAACAAAAAAACGGATCAAGCAAAAAGATTCCATAGCCAAAATAAGTGTACTAATTAATTTTACTCTCAGGGGTATTCCTTTATAACCTGACATGAAGCCTATTTATCTCATTATAATTGTTTATAAAAGGACAATGTTTGGTTATCTGCTTTACAAATCAATGTGTAAGAAGAGGCAAGCATACTGGCAAAAAAAAAAAAACATCAAATGAGAGTCAGGAAAAATGTAAGCCAGAAAAAATGGACTCAAGATAACAAACAGTTATTAATATTCAGGAAAGGGAAGTCTGCTACACCTGAGGACATCATTGTTATTTTAACACTTAAGAATTGTTCAAAAATTATAGTTTAGATATCCTTATAAAGACTGAATTGCATTAAAACATGCATCCAAAGAGGAAAAAATTATACCTGTAATACCTAAAAATCTGTCTGATCTAAGTAGTGCTTAAGAGCTACTTTTGTCTATCTGAGAAAAACTCAGTTGAGCAGAACAACTCATTGTCTAAATGTTCCAGAGAGGGAACGTTTAAAATAGCATTATGCACCATTTTTAGACATTAAAAGTTCTTATGCAAATAAAAAAGGATGTACTTTCAACTTGGAGCAATAAAGCTAGATGTTCTAAACCTAGCTTTTGTTGTTGTTGTTCTTTTTAGTAAAGAAAAACATAAATATCATTCAGGTTTGGTCTGATCAGTAGATGTTCAATTCATCTTAGGAACTTCAAAGAAGCTATTTATTTTCCTCTTTTAGATTTTCATTTGAAGCTAAGAAAAAAAACAGAGATAGGGATCCAGAAAACATAATCAAGTTCTAGGTCAGTGTGCTAATCATTAAATGTGACTCATGTGCCACATTGTTAGAAAAGAACCTGATCCCTATCAGGAAAGAGAAAACAGTAGTAATATAATCTGACCATGGAGTAGGAGTATAAAACAGAAAAAAAATATACATAATGAACATGTTAGGTTGTCAGGAGTCTTTGAAACAAACAACCAGTGGAGTGCGTGAAGGATATTCCCATCATGCAGGTTCCACATAAATAATATATGTGTGTGTTTGGAAATGAAACAGACAGGAAGTGCTACTGCTAATTCAAAATGTTTGGCTTGAGTGCTAGTAAGAACCTTTTGAAAAGCTGTATATTTTCTATGGAATTCATGTAACAAAGATGCTCAAACTTACATTAAAATACGCTTTTTTTTCTTTGAACTCCTGATAAGAGTAATGGAAAAAGCCTTTGGGCTCCATAAGATTCTGATCATCACTAGACTAATGATGTAGAAAATATATCAGAACATTTAAATTTCTATAGTCAATATCATGTTGGTTCATGCCTATAATCCCACTTATTGGGGAGTTGAAGACAAGATTACAAGTTGAAGGCCAACCTTGGCAACTTAGCAAGATACAAGCTCAAAATTTAAAAAGGCTGGGGATGTAGCTTAGTTGGTAGAATAGCCCTAGGTTCAACCTCCAGTACCACAAAAATAAAATAAATGACTAAATAAAACATCTGAGACGCTATTCAAGTCCTAAACTAAATGTCTCATTATAGACATTCCTTTTTAGAAATATCTTATGTTCCTTTCTTAGTAGTGAGGCAGGTATTGGTTACATATAAAACTGGTAGGGGAATAAAGTAAATTAAGAATCATTATCACTGATAAATGTGTTCTTTTTTTTTTTTTTTTAGAGAGAGAGAGAGAATTTTTAATATTTATTTTTTAGATTTTGGCAGATACAACATCTTTGTTTTTATGTGGTGCTAAGGATCGAACTCAGGCCACACGCATGCCAGGTGAGCGGGCTACCGCTTGAGCCACATTCCCAGCCCGATAAATGTGTTCTTAATAAAGATATCCACTATGTATAAAGCCTAGGCATGGGGATAAGTCTGTTACACTAAGATTTCAGGTCATCTTATAAGGAAAGATCATACACAAGTTAAATTATCTCAAAGATAGAAAATTCACCTTTTCAATCTGTCATATAACAAAGAATTCATTATTTGCATTTATATCATTTCTCCTGCAGAAATTTTATAAAAAAAAATAATCACTGTCAAATGAATAGTGTGCACTTTTAAGTTTCAGAGATAAAAGAAGTGGAAAATCTTCTCAATCTTTGTATTTCTTCTAAACTCTTCTTCCCACTCATGTCTTTAAAATTTCCTACCAGATAATTATAATTTTGTGGGTTAGTCTCTGTGTCCTCTATTCTGTAACATTGGTCTACCAGTCTGTTTTGGTGCCAATACCATGCTGTTTTTGTTACTATTAATCTGTAGTATAGTTTAAGGTCTGGTATAGTGATGCACCTGCTTCACTCTTCCTGCTAAGGATTGCTAAAGCTAAAGCTCTTCTGAGTGTCTTATTTTTCCAGATGAATTTCATGATTGCTTTTCTATTTCTATGAGGAATGTCATTGGGATTTTGATCAGTATTGCATTAAATCTGTATAGTGCTTTTGGAAGTATGGTCATTTTGATAATATTAATTCTACCTATCTAAGAGCAAGGTAGATCTTTCCATCTTCTAAGGTCTTCTTTGACTTCTTTCTTTAGGTTTCTATTAATTTTCATTATATAGATCTTTCACCTCTTTCGTTAAGTTGATTCCCAAGTCTTTAAATTATCTTATATTAGACAAAGGTGCCAAAAACATGCATTGGAGAAAAGATAGCCTCTTCAACAAATGGTGCTGGGAAAACTGGAAATCCATATGTAACAAAATGAAATTAACCCCTATCTCTCACCATGCACAAAACTCAACTCAAAGTGAATCAAGGACCTATGAATTAAACCAGAGACCCTGTGTCTAACAGAAGAAAAAGTAGGCCCTAATCTCCATCATGTGGGATTAGGCTCCAACTTCCTTAATAAGACTCCTAAAGCACAAGGATTAAAATCAAGAATCAATAAATGGGATGGGCTCAAACTAAAAAGTTTCTTCTCAGCAAAAGAAACAATCTGTGAGGTGAACAGAGAGTCTACATATTGGGATCAAATCTTTACCCCTCACATATCAGATAGAGCACTAATCTCTAGGGTATATAAAGAACTCAAAAAGTCAAACACCAAAAAAACAAATAGTTCAATCAACAAATGGGCC